ACAGCCGCTGCCGCTCGGCCTTCTGGGACCCCACCACGGGTTTTACCTGTGTCCATCTGCCAGACATAGACGGAGCCGTCGGAGCAGCCCACCACCAGGTAGTCGTCGCAGGGCCGCCACTTGATGACCTGGATGGGGAAGAGGTGGCGCGACGCCAGCATGATGCACTTCCTCTCCCGGAGGCTCAGCAGCCCCACCGAGTGGTCGCTCGCCACCGAGCACACGCAGTGCTGCACGCGCGTCTGCAGGGGGCGACAGAGAGGGGGGGGTCAGACTGGGCAGAACACTGCTAACACTGGGTAAATGTGAAAAAATTGATGAATTAATGTTCTTTAACCCGTTTCCTATTAATTAGGTAATACGCTGATTTTAACTGATGTATGTAAAATGTGTTGCAAGTGGAATACAGAAATAGAGAAAGCCATTGTAATCCTTTTTGTATATTTGTGTGATGACCCTTTGTAAACTTGTCATTATTTTTATGAAAAAAGAAAACAATCAATAAAACATAAGATAAAAAAGTAACAATGTTGACAGAGGACACTGGCTAATATTCACTACTCAGAGCTAAGGTCAACATGTATTGTGGTCTAACTGAATGCAGAGGTCAAACCAGCTGGGGGAGAGACATTGTAGAAAAAGCCATGCGCAAACAATGAATACGCACATAATATGTAGGAGGGTGGCCCGCACTTGTGAATGCAGTCTGTAAATGAAGCTGCCTCCGCTCTCAAATGTCATTTCTTTGCGATCACAAAAGGAAAACGACTCCGTGACCTTTGTGCCGTGAATTAGATGCTCCAATAAAGGTGCAATAATGGGGGTTTGATAGTGTCAGGTTTATATGTCAAATGTAGATGCCCGCGCGCGATATTATAACGCAGAGCAACAGGTTGACGACGGCTGAATGGGGGGGAAAAAAAAAAGACGACCAATAAAAGCAATCTCCATGGCCACGACAATAAAATCTCCTACTGAATGACTCCTTTTATGACTTCCTGCCACAGATAGGCTCTGCCTCCACCCCCCCACCCCTCTCATATAACGGCAGAAGTTTGGGTGGAGCTCGTCGCTAGGCTAAAACCTGACAAATGAACGTTTTTCAGGGGACAGGGGAGCGTTTAACAACCCGAGGATGATGATAAGACTCCACAAGGGCACCGCCGGTTAAATCACCCGCCGCCATCGCATGCCTAGGCAACAAAAAATTAAAAAAAACAGTGCCGGCCCCCGAATGATGGTGCAGTTAAAGTAACATCCTTGGAAGCTGTTTGGGGTGAAATATTGTGTGGAGGAGTCAAAAACGCCACTCCTGCTGCTTATTACTGAGTGACAGAGCCTTTAGTAAAAGGGAGGCATTCCTGAGGCCAGTAAATATTCCTTCAAAACTAAATACAATTATGCCATTTGTCTGTCAGGGAGATGGCCAAGGATGGAAAGAGATGGGGGGGTGTTTGAAGGGGGGATGAACAGTGGAAGGATCTTGGATCGGACTGAAAGGGAGACTAAATTGAAGCTGCAATCTGTGCTGACAGGCAATGTTCTTTAGCACTGATGTAGTGCCACGGGGAGCCTTGACCATGAGGGTGTCGGAGAAGAGCCTGAGAGGATGCATCAGTCTTCATCGCCGCACGTCGCCGCCCCCCAACCCCCAACACACACACACACACACACACACACACCCACGACACCCCCCCCCAGCTCCGAGGGCTCTCCTTAACGAGCTTCACCGCCGCCGCCACCACGGCGTACAGACGGGATCGAGACTGATCGCCGGCGCATTACGGCGCTCTTGTGGGTAATGGACGCAAATGGGCAGCGCAGGAGATTGCACTGTATCTAAATGCCATCTGTTTCCAAGACAGGAACACCCTCTCCCTCCCCCCCAGCCGTTTCCTGATCGTTAGGGGCTGGCCTCAGAAACCCATGTGGACCGGCCTAATTCACTTTGCTGTGGAAGAAAAGGGGCGACTACTTGATGACAACAACGCAAATGCATTGTTAAAACGTACTCATCTTGTACGTCCCTCTCGATAAGAGCATCTGCTAAGCGACAAAATGTTAATGCAAATGTAGTACATACATCAAATCAGATAGTATGTCTGAAACAGCGTCCCAGTTCCTCTCAAATAACAAAACAAAGGGCTCCTCGGTGAAGGAAACAAAGGATTGTGGGAGAAGGAGAAAAGCAGAGAGGGTGTTCAAGGATGTGGCTGGCAGGCTGCTCTCTTAAACAGGCTTGGGAGTCAAAGGGTCAGAGCGCTGAACTAGCCACCGCCCGCGGCGATTCTTATGATTTAATCAACGTTAATGTGGTCAGCAGGAGATAGGAGAAGCTGACGGACACAGGTACGCTAAGGGTATTATGGATTTCAACAGCTATAGTATCCAGCTTACTCTCACGTATCAATTAAATGTTCCGGTCCTTAAGTACAAGTATTGATATGCTATAAAGCAGCCACATAACCAAGAAGGTCATTAAACCCAAGATAATTCTCAGGCTGCTTTATTTACAGTTTGTACCTCTCGCCGTAATGGACACCAATATTGTTCCTGTCAATCAATGAGAGACGTTGGAGCTCCGGGAGGGAGGAAGCTGCATTCGACGAGCTTCTTCCCAGAGGAAGCCGGTCCATCTTGCTGACATTGGGGGAGGGGCTATAGGCAATTAGCTTGCTCAGACTCCGCCCCTTTCAGAGTGACTGACGGCTTTAGTTCTGCCCAAGGGTCTGCCATCTGTCAGCATGGCTGCTAACGGGGGTTAAGTGGGATCTGTATGACGCTGCTTACACACCCATTCTTCAATGTATGGAAACATATATGTGCAAATATATATATACACTCTCACTTCACATACCTACTTAAAGCCCAGTAAATTATTTTCTTTCAAAAAGCAAATAAGTCTTTGCCAGGTTATTTTTACATTTTCATGACAAAGGTACTGTAATAAATTTGGATCTGTAGGATCCATTGTTCCTTGCTGAATCCTCTTACAGGGGTACTCCAGCTGTATCAAGCAATACAACACAACATCAGCAAAAACAACACCGTTCTGAAGAGTGGGAATTGGACCCACTGTGAGAATGGGAGGAAGACTGGAAATGAGGCGGACAGAGGAAGAGGGTGAGAAAGAAAATACAGAGTGAGGCAGAATTGAGGGCAGAGGAGAAGAGAAGGAAAGAAACTCTTTCCAGGCACGAAGTGTAGTTTAGAACAGACAAATGACTGAGACTGGCAGAGAGAGCGCCTGGCATAAAGTGGAGTTTGGAGGAGATGAACGAATGAGACTGACAGTAGAGTGGCAGACAGGAAGTGGCTAATGACGGAGAGTGCAAGGAACTGTGCCAGGCAGGAAGCGGAGTTCAGAGGAGACAAATGAGACCAAGACCGGCAGCGAGAGAGAGAGAGAGAGAGAGAGTGGCGGAGAGGAAGCGAGCGGGGAGACTCACGCTGCAGTTCTCGGGCGGCACCAGCAGCTGGGTGATCTCTCCCCCGTGGACGCAGAAGATGTGCTTCATCTCGCCTGTGAAGATGTCCCACACGATGACGGAGAAGTCCACCCCGCCGGACACCAGCGAACGCTGGTCGTAGCGTGGGGACACCTGGTGAGGGTACAGCAGGCAGGTCACCTTGTTGCGGTGTCCCCTCAGGGTGCGGTGAGGCGGCCAGCCTAAACGGGGAGACACATAGCGGACAGGCTATCGGTCATGAGAAAGACACACAGTGCACTGAGTAAGACACACTGAGGAAGACACTAGACATAGCAATAGGCTTTAATCAGGGAGCTGATTCAATCTGCCCCAAAGCATTTTGCAAAAGCAAAACGACTTGTGCAGAACAGTGCAAGTTACCTCATTACTGTCACTTAAGTTTGAAGAAATGATAAACACTATTACAATGAGTAACTGCCTTAAATTTACTAAGCTTGCAGACTGTCACTTAGCAGGTGACTTCACTGAAAATCTAAAGTTTTGCTTGTAGTTCCTTCACATTTAGTTCAGAGGATGTATATGTTGGAAAGCACTGGTTTCACAGCAGACAAATCTGCTGTTTTGTTCCATGGTTATATCACTGTCTGAGGTCACTATGTGACAGTTATCCTCTCTAACACAGGAGGAACAACTGGGTGCTTGATCTACCAGCAACAAGTCTGTTTATTTCTAACCTCTATATAAGCCTTCAACGCATGAGCATCTGTTAACAAAACAAATTTAGAGGATTTTAACCTACTGCACTGTACATACTATAGTAACAGTACAGAACAATCTATTCTTTCGAGTCTCTCAAAGGGCAATATTTAATGAAGCAATAAAGTGGTATGCATTTCTCTGTCCTTCATTATGAGTAGATGGGATAAATATTTGGCTTACTCCCAGAGCATGAAGCCATTTTAAACCTGAGTGCTCACCACACATCAGCTTGGATGGAGAAGAAGGCAGTTATTTAGCCAGTTAACCTGGGGGAGTTATAAAATGGAAGGACTGAGAGAGACTGAAGGGGAATTTGGCAACTGGGGAACTCCCTATGCTGATGGTGATATATAACCACAGTGACTCACAGTATCAGTTTAAAGTCCCACCCAAATAACGTGGCCACCAGCACCACAGTGTCCCCATCACCACACTCGGGCATTGTTCTTTTTGCACTGTATAGAGGGAAGACCTCACCCTACTGACCAACCAATGGTATTTCCAGCCACAAGAGTACATTACATTACATTGCATAATTGGCATTTAGCAGAAGCTCTTACCAGAGTGACCTACATTAGTTACAATTCTACAATGTTATCCATACAGCTGGATATTTACTGAGGCAGTGCTGGGTTAAATACCTTGCCAAAGGGTATAGCAGCAGTGCCCCAGCAGGGAATCAAACCAGCAACCTTTCGGTTACGAGTGCTGCTCCTTACCACAATGCTACACTGCTGCCCCCAGTACAATTAAAAACCACCTGTTACCATTAAGCAAACAATTAGTCAAACTTCTACCCCTCTAGGGGGCAGCAGTGTAGCGTAGTGGTAAGGTGCAGGGCTCGTAACCGAAAGGTTACCGTTTCGATTTCTCTGCTGGGGCACCGCTGCTGTACTCTTGGGCAAGGTGCTTAACCCAGAACTGCCTCAGCAAATATCCAGCTATATATAAACGGATAACATGTAAAAACTGTAACCTATGTAAGTCGCTCTGGATAAGAGCGTCCACTAAATGCCAATAATGTAATGTAACGTAATGATTTCTACGGCTGTTTTGATGCACAGTGCCCCGCCCGCTCACCTCTGCGCAGCATGTGCTCGCCCTGCAGCAGCTGCACGATGGCGGTCTGCGTGGCGGGCACCAGCACGATGCTGCCGTCCTCGCGGCCGCACACCAGCCGGCCCTGCGACGGGATGTACACGCTGGCCGTCACCTTGATGGGCTCCTCCGAGCCCGGCATCACGCTCAGCTGGTCGATGATGCCCGCCGGCAGGGGCGCCAGCTTGTCGAACGCCTCCTGGAGGCTGATGGTGGAGGAGACCTGGAGCTCTGGCGGAGTGGCGCACGGAGGGAGAGAGGGGGAGAGAGAGAGAGGGGGAGAGAGAGAGAGAGAGAAGAGAGAGAGAGAGAGAGAGAGAGATAGGCATCATACACACAACGGCAGTTACCGAAGCATCAGGCCTTTACAAGGACACGTTCTCCATACCACATCTACATTATTTTAAATAATATACCTAACCCTAACGTTAACCCTAATTCTTGAACAAGTTCTGTTGCATATGATCACATTAAGATACCTATCCGTGTATATACAATATTTACATCCACACAAATAGACACCCAGACAAATTATGCACACAAAATATACTTCCATATTATCACAAAAATTATATTTTCATACAGTTATTAAAACATTTACGTAAATACTTTTACATTTTGTATTGACCTAATAAAAGTACATATATATTTTTGACAAATCTTTCAATGCAAGGCTTTAGATCTGGTCTTTTCTTAAGATAAGATGAGCCCATTTCAATGGAAATTGCAAATTTCAAAAACACACCTCATTCAAAATGGACTGCAAATTTAAAACTGGATTTCATTATGGTGACCTAGGATTACATTTCCTACGTAAAAAATATTAGCTCTCTGAGTAATGCCGTGTAGTTGATTCAGTTCAGTGAGGACCTGTGCTACGTTAAGATGTTAAGATAAATAAGCAAGTATGCTGAGCAAACAACTGGGACGCAGTGCCTACACTGCATCTAAGGCCATTAAATCTTAAAAAGATGTCTCTATATTATCTTCTCATAAAGAGAAAAGTTATCATTTGCATTGCTGATCTTGCTTGTAGAACATCGTTCCTTTAAGGATGTTACTGCAAGGCCAAACAGTAGGAAATGAGTTGCAAATTGTGTTGCTTTTTCATCGCGCTGACAGATTACAGCCATTCATGTCCATTAATCCTACAATGTTGAGTGAAACCACTCTCAGAGCTCCAGTGCAGCGGCATTATGCACTACGGATGGAATATAGCTACATTAATATCACAGAATCTGTGAAAACACGGATGTGGTGTTAAAACTTAACTGGTCGTTCTGGTCATTATGAGACATGGGTCTAGAAATGGATCTGTTTTTGCTTTTGTTTTATCTCACTGGACACCCAGCTTTTATTTATTGAGATATTTCAGTTACAATTGGATAATCACATGACGCTGGCATGATCACCATGCAGCATCTCATCAAACCTCATTGACTGTGCATTCAGTTAAGTGCCCAGTCAGACACAACCCCATTTCATTTTCAAAACCTTACTGAAACACTGAAAGGAAATCAAACAGAGTTTATTAAACAAAATAATATTTCCAACCTCATTTATCATATTCAAAACAGCTGACTTTCCATAGTTCTCCCAGGATTTACAGAGACAGAACTGGCCACTGTCAGTCCAGACTTCAGCATTACTATAACAACTATCCAACAGATTCACTGCGCCTCAGGCAGAGAAAAACAGCCAATTCCCATAGTACTGAACCTGGAATCCAGCCTAAAAGAAAGGTGAAACATGTGTCTCTTACTCCCCCTAGTGGAAAAAAAATCATATCATCAAAACAGCTGAACACAATTTTTGAAACCGTCAATGTCTTGAGTATTTCAGTTCTTGAAATACTCAAAGAATTGGATCGATTTGAACACAATGGACTGAGTTTTTTGTTAATTAAAAAGAAATACCTTGCCTCTCCTCAGATTCAAATTCTATGAACTTGATTTGTATGCCATTACAGTCACTGCTTATGAAAGCTCTCTAGCAAGGATAGGAAGCCAATGGCCCGTGGGTCTGATGTGGATTTTTATTCATTACCAATTTTCACAATTCCTGACCCCTCAGTATGATTTTCCAAGATAAGAATTAGTATGGAAGTACTCCTTTTAATCTTTTACATTATTGCAGTTATTTTTTGTCACAGTGTAAAAATGAGAATAATTTGAAATAATGTACATTCTGATAACCATCTTAAACAGGCTAACCGAAGACCCTACCAGAACTGAGGTCTAATATGTTTCAATCTACTCAGTTCAGTGCATTAAAATTCAATTCATAAAGTGAAAAATCACGTCTTTTTCTATGAAGAGTTTTCAATTGATGGAGATTTTTCAGGTCCCTTCTTGAATTGACTAAATTGGAAGGGAAATGAGCCAAACTCTGTACCCCGCCTCCACAGCACACTGAAAGGAAAGCAGCCACTCATTTTCAACATGCATTTACGATTATGTCATCTTTCCTTAGCAAGAATCTACCATGTCATTTTTTCATTAATTCAATGAATTTAGTAGCCTGCAATGTATTTGGTTATACATCGAGCAAATACTACAAAAAGTAGTCAGTGCTTAGAACCAAATCTATCCAGACCTTCCAACAGCACTGCAGGTCTAGGACTACAGCCCTTACTGCTGTGATGGTTAGCAGTTATAGGCGTATGACTACAGCTCTTACCTGCTGTGGTGGACAGCGGTTACATGCAGAGGAGTAGACCTCTAGCCTGCTGTGGTGGACAGTAGTCACAGGCAAAGGAGTACAGCTCTTACCTGCTGTTGTGGACAGCAGTTACAGGCAGAAGAGCAGACCTCTAGCCTGCTGTGGTGGACAGCGGTTACAGGCAGAAGAGCAGACCTCTAGCCTGCTGTGGTGGACAGCGGTTACAGGCAGAAGAGCAGACCTCTAGCCTGCTGTGGTGGACAGCAGTTACAGGTGCAGAAGTAGAACTCTCACCTGCCGTGGTGGACAGCGGCTGCAGGGGCGAGGTGTCGGGGATGCTCCACAGGGTGAGCCGCCCGCCCGAGTCACCCTGCACCAGCAGCTTGTGGAAGGGCTCCCGTCGCCCGTAGAAGAAGCGGGTCACCGGGGGACAGATGAGCAGCTGGAAACACAACCAGACCACCGGGGGTCACGCATCTGAACATGAGCCGCTCAACCCCGCTGCGGTACGCAGCGCCGCCGGCACTGAGAGCCGCCTTCTTACCATCATCATTACCACTGCGCGGAACATCACACAGCCCCATCGTTTGCAGTGTTTACCTACCGAACGCTGCCTGAAGCGCTAGCTGTGCCAAATCGTTTCTGGACTCAAAATAACTGATAAATCAGTCCATGGTTAAGTTTTATCATGATGTAGCCTGCATCTGAAAAGGGCTTAAATACCCAGTATCAGAGTGGTGCTAACTGGCTGTGCTGACTAGAGTTTTGAAAATGCATTACACTGGTTTTCTAGAACTGCACCTGCCACTAAGACTGCTTTCACATAAGTATTTACGAGCAGAATGCTTTGATAGTGCTTGATTTTCAAATATAAAGGTCATCTTAAACAGCCCTATCCACAGCTGTTTACAGCTTAACATATCTTGTCTGGGGACCAGCAATGCATAACACACTTTAAATTATCTACGGGGCTCCAAAAGTGTGTGATCCCGACAATTAAACTGAACATCACCACTGTGATTAGAAAGCAATCACATCTTGCACAAACAAGTTCTAGTGATGACTGCAAACACTGAAAACGATGGGGAATTCAGATACATCACAGAGGATCAACTGTAGCCCTGGGCGGACAGAATTCCACAGGTTTTTAACTCAATGACATCTTACACTTCAGATTTACATAGGTTTAGGCACTTGAAAAGAGAAGCTGTCCTTCCGCTTTGCGTACAGGCCTGGATGATGATGATAAAAAAATGCTAACATTAATGGCAATGATGAAAGCAGAGCAAAGCCTAAAGTCGATCTACTGACTAAAGTAAATCTATAAACCCATCTATCTATTCAGGCATTACCATAGCCCTGCAAGAGACAAAAGACATGTAAACCGTCTGTTTACATGATATTATAAGGACTGTAGGTGGGGGTATTAGAAGCATTTACAGCAAACTCTTTGCAGCAAACTAACTCTTTTAGGCATGTGTAAAATACTTAAAACGGAAGATTACTGTAATTGTGACTAAGGTCTTTTAAAGAGCTGTTATATCCCAAAGGCCCTGAAAATATGAAATGACTGTGACAGTCCTCACCATACAAACTATGCATTTTAACAAAAAATCAGATGTTTAGGATAGTCAATGATATAATAAGAGAATTAATAATATATTCAGAGAAAGACATCTAGGTATCAGTTTCCTGTTCATAGCTAAGTATCCCTATTCATTCATGTCATACTTTTACCTGCCAAGGCAGCTAGCATGATGGATTTTAGTTTTTTAACTTATAGTTACTACTGATTTCATATAAAAACTCTGCCACACATGACACATTGGAACACACACTACCAACTATACCGCCTAAACCCATCACCTGATCCAAGGTCAGTTTACCTGCCTGACCACAACTACTTTGTTGATACTGTTCCAGGATCAGTGCATGGGGGATGCATAACCTTGCCAAGTCATGACCTAGTTTTCCAGGAAGAAGTCCGTTTCCTTAAATTCTAAGAATAACGTGGTGAAATGGAGTCAGATGGATCCGTGTTCCAGTTGAGAGGCCCAGAGGACAGGTGGCTGTCTGACATGGTGCCACTGTCGACAGGTAAATTACCCCAGACGCAGCC